AGCCTGGGGAAAAAGTTCAAGAAACTCCATCTCTAAAATAACCAGTGCAAACTGGTTACCAGTGGCTCACACTTGTAATCCTAGCTACTCAGGCTGGTGGGCCTCCTGGTGCTTACCACAGGCTGTGTTCTTCCACTGACTGTATAGAAACAGGAGGCAAAGTAAACCTACCTCATATACATCTAAGCCCAAGCCCTGTGCCTGCTCTGTATTGTGAATGGGGAGACATGGGTTGGAAGAAAAAAAAAAGGGGGGGGGGGCTGGTGGAGTGGTTCAAGGTGTAGGTCTTGAGTTCAAACCCCAGTACTGAAAATAAATAAACTAGCCAGAGCAAAATGGACTGGAGGCATGGCTGAAGCAGTAGAGCCCCTGTTTTACAAACATGAAGCCCTGAGTTCAAACCCCTGTCCCACCAAAATAAATAAAAAATAAATAAATGAAAGTCCATGGACCACATGTGCTATGCATGTGAACGGTAACTGTGAGTAAGACAGACTACACAGTAGGAGGTGATTTTGGCCCTCAGGCCATATTTGGCCAGGACTGGAGGTTAGGTAGCAGTTAGCCATGAGTGATGGGGACATACAAAGAAAACCTAAAATGTTGGATTCTCCAAGGTCTCTGACAGAAAAACACTTAACAATCCCTGTTAGGATCAAAGTAGGTCCAAGGTCATGGGTTGTCACCTTAGGGTAGGCAACACAATTGAGTTAGCATCAGTTTCTGAAACCACAGATCTTTACTTAACAAAATAGACCCAGGCCTGTAAACCATACCCTAGGGGCAGGTGGACCTAGAAATATTTTGTACTTTGTAAATCTGTAGACCTACCCTAGCCTCATGATCTTTTTTTTTCCACCTCTGGGGTTTGAACTCAGGTCCTTACACTTGTTAGGCAGATGCTCTGCCAGCCCTTGTGGCACTTAAGCCACTCTGCCAGTGATTTTGGTGTTGGATGTTTTTTGAGATAGGGTCTTGCAAACTATTTGCCTGGGCTGGCTTTGAACCTCTATCCTCCTGATCTCTGCCTCCTGAGTAGCTAGGATTATAGGCGTGAGCCACCAGCACTTGGCTAGCCTCATGATCTTCTGACTTCAGCCCTGTGGGCTGATCCTAGGGAGGGACTTAATACTCCAAGCCCCTTCCACTTCAATAAAAACTGGTGCCAGGGTAAAAGTAATTGACATTCTTGTTCTCTCTCTCTCTCTCTCTCTCTCTCTGATTTCAGTCCATTGAAAGTGTGTTCCTTTCCTAATAAACTTTAATATCACTTTCACTACATTTTCATATCTTGCCTGAATTCTTTTCTTTTAGAGGCAAGGACTGAGGTAGAGGGCTGCACTGACTTTCTGGTAACATTTTTGGTTTATTTTCAAGTAACATGGATACATTTCTGCTTATCACATCTAGCAGGCAGACAACAGATGTTGCTAACTATTTTAAAACACACAGGACAGCCCTGCAACAAGTTACCAGGCCCTGAACACTAATTGTGCTGCTATTGTGAAACCCTCCTATAGCAGGACACAGTAATTTAAATATACAATCACATGTATGTACATGCAAGTAGAGTGGAATAAACATGAGAGATAGGAAATGCAGGGTGTGACCCAAGAAGGCTCCCTGGAGGAAGTGACACCCAGATGGACGTGAAGGATAAGTAGGAGTTAGGAAATGAGAAGGGAGAAAGGTGTTTTGAGCAAGAGAAGAGTAAAGGGAAAGAGCCCGGTGTCGTTATAGAAGTAAATTTTCAGTGTGTCTGGAAGGCAGAGCACAAGGTAGAAAGGCAGCTTTAGAACCTACAAGGCCATTGCAGGTCATGCCACAGGGCCCAGACTCTATCTTGGGAGTTCAGGGAAACCCTTGAAAGGATGGAATAGGGAGCAGCCTTCTGAAAACTCTCCCCAGAAGGGTCTGGACGCAGGGAGGCCAGGGAAGAGGCTGCTAGAGATGACAGGTGGGAGAACGTGAGACTGAAGAGGCAAGTTCAGAGGCAGAGGGAAGCTGCATGGTGCCTGGACGCCTATCACATGACCGCTCAAACAGTACACAAGCAAGACCACCCAAAACCTGCTGGGACCAGCATGACGACCTGAGACGACCACTAACTGTCCTTTGCTTCAGTGTAATGACATCTCCATACCATTTGCCTTGCACAGTTGACTGTTCCCCTCATACATCTGACACCATGACGCATCTGAAAACCCCATATAAGGACAAGAAACAGGAACCCTATTCATGGAAAATCTCAACTCATTCCTGGAATTCCTGCTCCTGCCCCTTAACTCATGAGTAATCCTCTTCTTCATTAAAGTTTGCCATAAGACACTATCCAAAATCTTGGGGCTTGCCACTCTCTTAAGAATCCTGCAGTCACCCCTTGAAATAAAACTTTCTCCTACTTCCCTCTTTTGTGTCTGCTTCTTTCTCCAGTGGTGACAAGAACCTGGAAACACTGGGCAGAGGCTTCATTCTGGCCTGTCTCTAAAACCTCCCCAGCATTCACCACCTGCAATGTTACCAATACTGGATGTCACAGAGGTGACACTGTGGGAGCGATCAAGGGTGTTACCCAGGTAACACCAACTTGGGTAGCTGGGAAGGAAGAGATCACTCCCGGAGTTGGTCTACAGTTGGGAACAAGATGGGTAAGGTCACTGGAGCCATAGATCTCCTAGTGAGGGAATCAGACTGAAAAGAAGCAACTCCTCATGGGATAAGCGTTAGGGAGAAGTTATATAGGGACCCACAGGAGGGACAGCAGGGAGAGCTGGCCTGGGGGGTGGGGGGATTGGGAAGGACAACCAAGCTGAGCTCTGAAGGCTGCCCCAGGGGTTGGTCAAGGGATGAGGTGGGGCAGAGAAAGTTTGTGTTGGCAAAGAGCCAGCACATTCCGGCACAGCCTCTAGGCTTCTGTCACTGGACTGGTGACATTGAGAACCACATCCCCCTCTGCAAACATTCATACCAAGTTCATTTCATCAGCTCCAAACAAAAGAGTTGGGTTTGGTCCAGCAGCTACTCCTGACCATCCTCCAAAGGCCTCACCCAATGGTCAAAGAGTCATCTCAGGGAGATTTCCATGCAAGACATGAGAGTGAGCCATCTTGGAGGTGGATCACCCAGCTCTAGTGAGCCACCCTAACTGATTCTGAGAAAGAGACAAGCCCTTCCATCTGAATTGCAAAATCATGAACAAATAAATGATCATGGGTTTAAGCCACTGAGTTTTGGGGTGGTTTGTTACACAACAAAACATTGAGACAAGCAGCTACTTTTATTGAACACCTACTCTGTGTGGGACAGAGGACAAGCAGCAACTTGCTAACTTCTCATGTCCACCTTGTTAGGGACTGGTATTTTTTTGATGGTGGGATGGGACTGAGGGATGGATAGAGTGACAAAGCAGTCACTCTACCGCTTGAGCCACACCTCAGCCCATTTTGCTCTGGTTATTTTGGAGATGAGGGTCTCATGAACTTTTTGCTGAGTCTGGCCTCCAACTGTGATCCTCTTGATCTCAGCCTCCCAAGTAGCTAGGATTATAGCTGTGAGCCACTGGCACTCAGCTCTGGCCTCAAACTCCTCCTGCCTCAGTCTCCCAAGTGCTGGGGTTACAGATGTGCACCACCACACATTTTCTCTTCTTATACTCTCACAGTAAGTGGTCACAGTCTTTTTTTTTTTTTTTTTCTGGTGGGACTAGGGTTTGAACTCAGGGTTTTGTGCTTGCAAAGCACCACTTGAGGCACAACTCCAACTCCGTGGTCACAGTCTTGACTGTGACTTTCACTTTGGCTTATTGTCCTAATGGGCTGCTGGGACTCATAGTGGCTCAGGAGGCTCCAGCTCAGCTCAGTGCTGGATAACTGGACAACTTGCCTCTTTCAAAGCCCCTGCAGCTAGAGCAACTAGGTGCTGTGCAACTCCTGCACTGGCCTTGATTCCTTTATGGCAGACTGCCTTAAGTCCTTCTGACTCTCTGTTTCCTGGGCTCCTGCCACCCTCTAGTTCTGAGCCACATCTTTTGTCATCTGGCTCAGACCACAAAAGCTTCCATTATAATGAGACAAGTCTCAATAGTTACACTCACTCCTTTTAAATTCTATTTTTCAGTGGTGCTGGGGTTTGAACTCAGGGCCTCAAGCTTGCTAGGTAGGCGCTTTTAGCATGAGTCACTTGCCAGCACTTTTTTGTGTTGGTTTTGAGAGAGAGTCTTGAGAACTATTTGCTTGGGCTAGCTTTGAACCCCAATCATCCTGATCTCTGCCTCTGAGTAATTAGGGTTACAGGCATGAGCCACTGGTGCCCAGCTAAGTTTATTTTATTTTTTCAATGGTGCTGGGTTTGAATTCAGGAACTTCCATCTGAGCCATGCCCCCATTCCTCCAGTCTTATTTCAATGAGTATCTCTGCTTGACAGGACTTATTACCAGCCCACACTGGAGCAGGATCTAGGTTCCAGCTGAGTTCGTCTTCCACTCTGGAAAGTGTCAGGATCATTCAGTGTGTCTACCCTGCAGAGTCTCAGACCTCTCCCTCCAGGAATCTACTGTGGGTTTTGGGTGAGATTTGGGATTGGTAATTCTTCCCAAGTCTGAAGCACTGCCCTAACCCAGGAATAGGCAGACTTCTTTTGTAAAACACCAGAAACTAAACATTTTTGGTTTTGTGGACCACATGCCTCAGTTGTAGCAACTCAACTGTGATGTTAAAGCACGGAAAACAACCATAGGTGCATACATGAGTGGTGTATCTGTGTGCCAATAAAAGTTCATTTACAAAAATAGGTGATGGGGATTAGGAGCATGGCTCAAGTGGTAAAGTGCCTGCCCAGCAAGCATGAGGCCAAGGTCAAACCCCAGTACTTCCCCACCGCCCCAAAAAAAAGGTGATGGGCTAGATTTGGCCTGTGGGCCATAGTTCTCAGAACCAAAAAAAGACACTGAGAAGTGTGTGTAAAAAAGTGATATTTCTTTAATTTAAAATGATGACCTGGAAAGAACGAGTCAGTTTAAGTGTTCCAGGCTTTCTCTTTATACCCAAATAGAATAGACACAATGTTGGCTCAGATTTCTAACCCCAGAGAAAAATCAAACTCTGTCACAAATCCTTTGAAAGTCCCTGAAGCTACCCAGCTGGGACCATCAGGCACCACAGAGCAAGGGGCCAAGTCACCAGAGTTGCTGCCTTCCAGCCATGCTGGGAAGAGCTTTCCTTCTGCCACCCGTGAGCCCCATCAAGCTCCACTTCTCATAGCTGACTGCGCACAGGCCTCCCTAAAGAGGGGTACGGTGGGGCAGCCACCTCCCAACTGTCTTCAGACGGCATCTTCCTGTGATCATATAGTACGCCCAGAAGGGCAGCATGGCCTCCTGTTTGGCTGAGATCTGGAGCCATGAGTTGTTCCCAACGATCACATGTGGCCCAGGGATCAGCAGCAGAACGTCAAACTTGGGACGCCATCTAGGGAGATGTAAGGGCCTCTGTGATCAATGGCAAGTCTGAAAAATGAAAGAGACAAATACTGTCTAGGTGAAATCCTGCCAAGAGCCTGGAAAAAGCTAAAAGGTAGAACAGCACTTCCTTCAGCTCTCCAAGACTCTGATCCTCCAAGGAGAGAATTCAAATGGTCCCACTTCTTACACTCAAGGTCAGTCCTGGCTTTGAATTCACTCAGCCAATCAGAGGACGTGTGGAGAACAGGAGGCACTGAATAAAGAGACAAGGGAGAGGAATCTGGACTGTGATGCTGAGCAGGGCTGGATCCAGACTGTGATGCTGAGCAGGGCTGATTTTTGCACTGAATTTTGGAAATGTGGTCAGCAGAAAGGAAAGGAGAAAGAGTGGGCTGCAGAGTCCCTCTCTTGGAGGCCTTTCTAGAAGGGGTCCACATACAGAATAAATACAACTGGCTTGAAGTAAGCCTTCTGGAAAAATCCACTGCAGTGTAGGAGGACAAGTTTCTCCACTGGTTGGTTTTCTCTAAAACTGACAGCACACGAAGTCTGACCCAAGTCAATGCTCTGGGGCAAACCAAAAAGTGCTGACCAGAGATGCTGTGGAAGACCAGAGAGGGGCCAACCCAGTCCCACCACACACAGCATTCCTGGGCTGTGCCTGGGGTGGGGAATGGGGTCAGTGCACAGAAGCGAGGAGAGTCCCCTGAGAACTGAGGCACAGTGAGAAGGAGAGAGAGGCAGGGTTTCCTCTCTGGGTTCAGTGGCGCTGCCTCCCAAGGGAGGAAGATGTTATTGCCCTACTGTCAGCACCGCTGCCAGTTGGTACTCAAAAAGATGGCACCTGGGGTCGGGCAGCTCAACACAGATCCCAGGCTGTGACACGGCCCCTAGTAAGAGTTGTCCTAGACCAAGTCTGGGTCAGGTCCTAAGCCCTGGCTCATGTCAACACATGTCCCATCTCAGCACACGACTCCCAGCTAACCAATCCACTGGATGTTAGCAAGATGGTTCCTATTGTGGAGTAACGGTGTGCACATCTCAAGAGCCCAGCATGTCTCCTCTTCCCAGTCTCCATCTTCTCAGAACAGCAGACCCCAAAGGTCTATCAAAGAGGGAGCTGTCCACATGGCTCTCTAAGGCCAATCAGAGAAGCCACTTACAAGACCATGCAGGTTTCATCTAATCATAGCAGAAAGATGGCTCAACCCCTCCTCTTACTGGATGATGCTGTCTGGCTGCCCATTCTGGGCCACCTGTCCAGGATCAGAGGCTGGGGTTGGGTTGGGCGTGTTGCTCTGAAGGTAGCGGCGGAAATCTTTGATCATGGGCCGGAGGACCTGGATGAGGACGCTCAGGGCTGCCTGGGTACCCTCCATGGCCTGGGCCTGGCGCTCCTGGGCACAGGCCTGCACTTCCTGGGAGCGTCGGATCATCTGCAGCAGGTCATTCTGCTGCTCCAGGTGCTGGGCAATCTCCTTGACATGCAGGTTAGTGACCCGCTGCTCCTGGATCAGCTTGGCAGAGTTGAGGGCTATGCGGCTCTTGAGCGCCTGCGGCTTAACAGACGTGTCTGTATCTCCATGCTGGGCGATCATCTCCATGGGGGCCTCTGCAGGCAGGGGCGCAGGAGCCTCCGCTGTGCAGTACTCCACCACTCCCTCTTCCAGTGTGTGATAGGTGGTCTCAGTGGGGACTGCAGGGGAGAAAGAGCCAAAGCAGAGGCAGATCACCTTCTGGAAGGAATGATGCTGGCTGTGCAAGTTGTGAGGAGGCCATTAAGCCCTGTCCTGCAGAGAGACAAAGGGGAGTTCAGGCCTCCCCTGGTTTTATAAATAGACAAGCTAAGGGGATCAGATCTGGTTTTTCCTCCGTGCTGGAGATTGAACCCAGGGCCTCATGCAGGTAAAGCATGTGCTCTATCACTGAGATACTAATACTACTCCAGCCAGTCTTCAGGATCTTAATCTACTGATAGCCAAAGAGCAGCCCTGGATTTGGCAAAATGATGCCGCTAATAATACTAGCAAAAATGTTATGGCACTTATGTGCCAGGTACTTTGCACTCATTAGCTTGATGACTCTCCTAATGACAAGAGGTAGGTACTGTCATCTTCATTTTCAGATGAGGAAACAGACCCAAAAACATGGATGACTTGCTTAAAGTCACATAGTTCATTCAGCAGACCCAAGAAGTGAACAGGGTCTTCACAATACCAGAGCCCAGCATACTCAAAACCACCTCAACTGGGCTGCTTCTAGCTGATAAAGGCACCTCAGAGTTAAGGCCACATGCTCCCCAAGATGCCAGGACGCAGTAAGCATCCTGGTGTGTCCTATGTAGCTGTTTGCAGCCACACTACTTCTACCTCCTTCAATGCTTTCTTGACTTCCTTGTCTTTTGTGGCCAAGCAGAAGAGAAGGTGGGAGAAGGGAAGCTGCTAAAGTGGCCAGTAAATGTCTCCTTGTCTCTTTAATCACCTTGGTCAATGGGATACCTAAACATCCTTCCTGTTCCAGAACAGTATCTGACTTAGACCAGTGTTTGTCGTTCCCCCCCTTCCCACTTCAGTATGTACTTGACAAATATGACACTGCACAGAGGTGGCACTCATACTCGCACCCAATTCCCCCAAGCCTCAGTAAGAATCAGTGGTTGATATAATTCACAGGCCATCGCAAATGGGTAGAGTTCACAGTTATGGGCATGAACCCTTATCTCAATTACAAAACCCACCCAGCTGAGCTCTGTTGTTACTCTCAGAAAACCTTCAAAGGAATCCTAGGAGGGCTGTCTGGGTCTCCATGTGTGTGAAAGAGGCCAATCTTCTCCATCCTTCAATGTCAATATCAACTGTGTGCTCCACTGCACTAAAGAAGCCTCCTTCCTCTTGTGAGTCCTGAGGCTTTCCCCTCTGATAGTGAACTCTTTCATATATATGCCTCATCTGCTCTATGAGGATATAATCAGCCTAAAATTTTTCTTATTTTTTTGAGGGGCTAGAGGATTGAACCCATGGGCTCTTGCATGCTAGGCCTGCACTCTCTCACTGAGCTATATGCCCACCTCTAAGACCTGTATTTTAAATACATTGGGTAATCCCAGTGTCCAGGACAGGGTTTGGCATAGAATAAGTGCCAGTGAGCCATGAAGTTTCTGAACAGCGCCTGATGTATGTTTGCCACACTGAGAACACAGAATGTCTTTGTCCACATGGATGTCTCCCGTGGGCAGTACCATTCCCATCTAGAAATTCAACAAATAACCTGGCTGCCCACTTGTGTCATGTCCTGTGATAAGTCCTATGAGGATACAGTCTCTGTCTTCAAAGACCTCATAGTCCAGCCAGTGGAGATAAGTCATGGACATAAATGGTGGCAACACACAGTAGACAGCTATCCAGCTTGCTAGAAGGCCAGACCACATGCTGAGGAAGTGCCAGAGATAGCAAGTTGACTTTTGTCTGGGGTGGGCACGGAAGGCCACATGGTCTTCCAAGATCCCCATCTGACCTTTGACCCTTGGCAACCAACCTTCCCCAGGATGCCCTTCCCATTTATGCACGGGGAACTGGGCAGGAGAGGTCACTCACTCTGTGTCAGGGTGACCGTGGCTGCGGCTGCAGTGGCCGTGGGTCCGAGAGCCACCGGGTGGATCTCTGCAGTGCTGGGAAGACTGATGATGGTGGCCTCGCCCAACAGGTTGCAGATGCGTTGTTGCATGGGGGTCAGCAGTACGGGGGCTACCGCTGGGCCACTGCCGCCACTGCCACCTCCTGTCCCAGGCCCACCAGTTCCATCCTCCTCAGTGGGCCCTGGAGCCTCGCCACCCTCCACAGCAGCCCGGACTTGGGCAACCTTGCGTCGGACTTCGGTCTTGAGGTCAGACCACTTCTTCTTGACCTCGGGTAGCTCCCTGCGGCAGGTGGCTACAGCGTTGACCCTTCTCAGGATGCCATGCCAGGCTGCGCTCTTGGCAGCCAGGGGGACCCCGGCGTTGAAGTGGTTCACCAGCAGGTGCTTCTTCAGCTCCAGCTCCTCCACGATGATCTCCACCTCCCGCTCTGAGAAGTTCATCTTCCTCTTCTTAGCTGGGACAGCCATGGCCTCTCCTCTCCTCTCTTATTAAAGAAATTGTAACAGCCCCAATTTTCCTTCTCTTTCTCCCTTGGCCTCGCCCCTACCTACCACCCCCCCACTCCAGGGCATAGGACAGGCTAGCTCAAGGCCTAGCAGCAGGCCTTAGATAACCCCTCTCGCTACGCAAAGTGCGTAGGGCCCAGCCCGGACCCGCCCGGCCGCTGCCAGCCAGCTGCGTAATGGCTTCCTGAATCTGCCTCTTCCGCTGGGGCGTGCGAAGATCCGCCCACTTCCCTTCTTCCCGCCCCTCAGAGCTTCTCCAGGGAAGCCTTCCCTCCTGGTTGGTCGCGGCTCAAATATCATGTCGATCACTGGTTCTTCCGGTCTGTCATTCCGCTTAAGAGCACACCTACTTACTTAAAGTAGCCTGATTATTGGTCTAAAGGTGTGTCTGTCGCTTTAGAGCGCTCCGCCCACTCAGCCTTTATTCACTTCCATTGGCAAATCATTCTGTCGTTCAATTATCGGTATTTCAACTCTTACGCCGTTAAATTCAGCTATTTTATTGGTGGCTTTAGGGAGTAAAACCCGGTCTCCTGAGGATACTTGGTGCTTTCGGTCTAGAGTCATTGGCCAATTAATATTTAATTTCACTCCAGGGCTCCAATTCGGTTTTGTTACTTCAGTTCACAACTGCTCTCACACAAATACTGGTTCCCACGTGAAGCTACGGTTTCTCTGTACACAATCGTTTTTTTACATCCTTATAATTTCGCAACTCAAAACAGCACTTCTCAGTGGTAACTGAACACGGAGCCTTCCGCCTGCCAATTACTCGACTTCTGCTTAAAGCTTGGTTCAGCCAATCCCCTCCTCCCGCGGTTTGAATCGGTCCCAGGCTGCGCGGGATGGCCACACCTTCTCCATTGAGCAGGGTAGTCCTTAAGATAGGCCCCGCCCCGTCGGGGGGGGCCTTCATTTGGGCCTGTGACTGGCCGGCGGCTTGCCTGGGGGCGTGGCCATGGCGGAGGAGCGCGGCGGGGCGGGACGGGGCTCCCGGAAACGGCCCCTCCCCCGCCAGCTTGCCGGCATCTCGGAGCCCGCGCTCGCCGTCCGAGGAAACTCGGCGTGCTTCCGCGCAGTCCCTGCCGGCCCGCCGCCCCTGCCTCGCGCCCGGTGCCCCTGCCTCACGCCTGATGGTGAGCAGCGTGTTGTGCCGCTGCGTGGCCTCTCCGCCGCCGGACGCCGCCGCCGCCGCCTCGTCGTCCGCCTCGTCGCCAGCGTCCGTGGGGGACCCGTGCGGCGGCGCGGTTTGCGGGGGCCCGGACCACCGGCTGCGCCTTTGGAGCCTCTTCCAGACGCTCGACGTCAACCGTGACGGCGGCCTGTGTGTCAACGACCTGGCGGTGGGGCTGCGACGCCTGGGACTGCACCGCACCGAGGGCGAGCTCCGGGTAGGCAGCGGGCGCCGTCCGCGCGGCGGGGAGGGAGGTGCGGGTGACGGGGTTCGGGCTGCTGGGGACAGGTCTGGATGTCTGGCTTCTCCGGCAGCCGCCTGGAGCTTGACAGGTCTGGGTGGACAGCCCCTGAGGCTGGGCGGGACCCCTATGTGAAGTAAAGGACAGTGCTGCCGACTGACAGATGGACAACCGGTTTGTGTACTGGTGAGAGTGGGACTTATGCGCGCTTGGGCCGGGGAGAAAAGCTCATTTGGGGTATCCTCTGGGTCTTCTGATAGGCGAAAAGTCCCTTCCAGCTCGGGTTTTCCCCAAGGTAGAAGGTCAAGCCTCAGGACTTGGTCCTTGGTCACCTCCTGATGTCAAGGCCAAGCTTGGTACCCCCAGGCCCCTGACAGGTTCATCCATTCGTCTTCAGCAGCACCCCCCTCTATTTTCTTCCTCTCGTTTCCATGCCACCGTGGGTCCTGATCAGGTTCCTCTTAGAAGCATGTGGGTGTTGGGGGGAAAATGGGAACTGGGGTTTCAGGCAGATCTGTGAGGGCTGTGGGTGGTGAGGACCAGCAGTTCTCAGGGCTTAGGCTCAGTCCCATTGCTTATCCAGAACATGGGGTCGTGATCCCTCAGGGTTGGAGTGTGGATGGTGTGAAAATCTGGGGGACATTCTTTCTAAAAGTAAGAGTGTGGTGCGCCTAAGAGGAGAGATTGTTATTCTTGCCCTGGAGTGGGCCCTTGGCCAAGGTGGGGGGAGAGGGACAGAGAAATGACCATTTCGGACCTGCCAGGAAGAAGAGCACTGTCCTTTGTGAGAAGCTGGGAGCAGTGGCTTTTTCTTCCCTGTCTCCTCTGATAAGGTTTTTGATTTGACGTTGTAGCTGTCAAAGTATTTCATTTATTGTGGTTTAGCCTGATTTATAACCTGTAGTTGAACTGTTGAGTACGTAGTAATCTGTTTCTTTCCAAAGTTAGTTTGACCCTTTTGTACATACAACAACTAGAGAACCTCATAGCCAAGTATGAAGAAAATCTGGTCATGAATTAAGCCAGTTTGTTAGTCGGGTGGGTGTACATCAAGTGTCTTGTCCAAGATAATCTCGAATCAGCACCCAGGGTCTACTGAGAGCTAGCTTTGGAAGACCAAGAGTAACACCGCGCAACATGGAATTGTCAGCTTAAGTCCAACAGGATTAGAGACAAGTTCCCCTTCCCTCCAATTCCTAGGGACAAGTTTAAAAAAATGTGTAGCCCAGGCTGGCCTTGAACTTACAGTCCTCCTGCCTTAGCCTCTAGTGGAGATCAAAGGCGTGTACCAGCATACCCAGCCTAAAATTTTTTTTAAGTCAATTTGACACAAAATGGTGTTGTGAGTTCAAGGTTTTCCCATAGCTCATGGATAATTGCTTGAAAAGACAGTGGTTCAACTGGGAGGATCTGTGCTCAGGGTGGTGTGGGCATAGGTGTCTGTTTGCCAGGCATTGAGGACATCTGGCTGCCCGAGTATGTTCGGTGTTCACACCCAGCTTTGTGCCTCAATGGGAGTTAAAATATTTTATTGTATGCACATATGAATAAAAAAAATGTTCTAACAGTTCATAGCATATCTTATATTGATCCTGATCCATTTTTTTGGGCAGTGAATTTGCCTAAAGGCAAATAAGGAGAAAGTGATCATTCTTCCAGAACTAAAAGAAAACCTTTTTGATTAACCAAAGGGAGCCTAGCTCCTTGGGGTCATTTTGGCTTCCAAGTCTTTGACTCCAAAATCTTTGACTCTGACTGATCTAAGTTCCATGATATGAAACAATTCTTTATTCTTTTGAGATGTTGGTTTAATATGGACTCTATACAAGTCTTGGAGCTTTTGAACAAATTAAATTATTACACAGTTTTGAGAGATTAGATGTGATTCATTTGATTAGTTGATTATCTGTAAAGGAACACAAGTTAGTCCTGTAGGAAATGGCTTAAGTATTAGGAAGAAAAATCTAACTGGGCGTGGTGGTACCCATTTGTAATCCCAGCACTGGGAGGCAGAGACAGGGGGATCCAGAGTTTGAAGCCAGACTGGGCTATGTAGCAAGACCCTGTCCCCCTTCTCCCTGCTGCCCCCCCAAAAAAGATCTTTTTGTAGATAACTGGACAACAGGAAGACACTATGCCTTGTGAACCACCATACCACTTCCTGTTGAGCTATCATTAGTATTTGCTGCCTACAGAAAAAGCCATGCTGCAGTTTTGCAGAACTGGTGGATCTGAAAGAGAACTTGGGGGCGCTTTGGTTAAAAATGGATGTCTTCCGTGGGAATAGGCATTGAAAAACACATTACACATTGGAAGCTGCTTCCTGTGACCCGTGTGAAACCGGTCTGAGATGCAGGGTTTGCACAGGAATCAGCTGTGAGTGCTTGTCAGTGGGTGATGGGTGAGTGCAGGCCATGTGACTCCACAAAGCTAGCTTATAACAGCCTGGGTCAAGTTTTCTTTAAAAATAATCCAGCAGGTTTTTCAGTTTGCTTTTGTATCAGAAGAGATTGGACAGAAAAAAAAAATACTTAAAATGGGAACAGGCAAAGAGACTTATGGCAGCCAGCCAGGGAAATTTTTCTTGAACTCAGGGCCTACACCTTCAGCCATTCCACCAGCCCATTTTGCTTTTTGTGAAGGGTTTTTTTTTGAGATAGGCTCTCAAGAAACTATTTGCCTGGGCTGGCTTCAAACCAGATCCTCCTGAGTAGCTAGGATTACAGGGGTGAGCTACTGGCACGCGGCTTCTTCCTTCCTTCCTTCGTCCCTCCCTTGCCGGGGAATCTTCTCTGCTCTTCTCTTTCTTTTCTTTTTTTGACAATATTGGGGATTGAATTTAGCCTCCTGCAAGTTCACTAACACTTGAACCATGCCCCAGTCCTTTGGCTTTTAGATATTTTTTCAGATTGGGTCTCTATCTAACTTTGCCTGAACTGGCCTGAAGCCTTGATTCTCTAACCTTTGCCACCTAAGTAACTGAGATTACAGGCATATGCCACCATGCCTGGTGGGACATTTTCTTTGTAAAGGCCATGTGAGCAAGAAGCCTGTCCTGAGACAAGAGAAGAGAAGGGTTTATTAAAGAAAAATAATGATGACAACGCTAGTGACTTGGGAGATGAGACTCAGCCAGAGCTAATTATAGCATAGACTATTTTGAACATTTTCATGTGACCAAACAAAATCTTTGTTTTAAATTTAAAACATAGGTTAGAACTTAGACAGCCAATTAGAGGAAGAAAACAAGTTGTATTCCCTATAAACGGTTGTCTCTGTAGCTGAGGCACAGGGGGCTGGTGTTAAATGCATGCATACTGTTTAGATTGAGTCCCATAGTAGGCAGTAAAATGACTTTACACCATTTTACAAGGGAAGAACCAGCCTGGTCAAAAAGTTAGTGAGACCCTCATCTCAACAAAGAAGCTGGGTATGGTGGTTCATGCCTGTTGTCCCAACTATGCAGGAGGCATAGGTAGGAAGATTGGGTCAGAGGCCAGCCCAGGCAAAAATGTGAGACGCTATCTGCAAATAACAAACAAAAAAGGACTGGTAGGGGGTGTGACTCAAGTGGTAGAGCACCTGCCTAGCAAGCTCAGCAGCCCTGAGTTCAAAGCTTAGTAGTGCCATAAAAAAAAAGATGACATAATATCCAAACCTGGGTTCTTTTTTTTTTTTTTTTTTTGCGGTGCTGGGGTATTGAACTAGAGCCTTGTA